CTTCCCCTCCACCAGCCGCTTCGCATGCATCCAGGAGTCTCCTCCTCGCTCGGCAAACGTCATCTTGGCACCTTGAAACGCCTTCCCTGGGAGGCCCTTGCCAGGACGGGGCTTTGAGGAGGATGCATCTCAGTCGCAAACATGTTATCTGTGCCTCTGTGTCGCTCTGGAGAGGATTACACTGAGCAGCAAAGGCAGGTGGGGGAAGCCCACGGCGCCAGCGCACTCGGCCCACACCATCTGTTCCAAACAAGCCAGGATTTGTGGCCTAGATCGGCTCCTCGCTCTCGCACTCCCCCTCCCCAGCTCTTGCAGGCCCTTTCTAAAATCACGGCCCCCAGCCCAATGAAAGGAAGAAGGCTGTGGGGCCACTTAAGCAGGAACTGACTCCACAATGCTGGTTGCAAATTAGCTGGAATCATAGCCTTGCAGAGTTGGAAGGGACTCTGAGGGTCATCCAGACCAACCCCCCGCAGGAATCTCAACTAAAGCATCCCTGACAGAGGGCCATCCAAACTCTGCTTAGGAACCTCCAAGGAAGGAGTGTCCCCCACCTCCCGAGGGTGTCTGTTCCACTGTCAGAAAGTTTTTCCTGATTTTTCAGCTGGACTTTCTTGTAACTTGAATCCATTGGCTCAAGTCCTACTTGCCAAAGCAGGAGAAAAGGGAAGGAGCAGCAAAATTCACACTGATTAGGTCCTCCAGATGCTGGACTGAAACGCCCAACAGCTGGTGCAGCCAATGGCCGGGGATGATGGGAGTTGTAGTCCAACAACAGCTGGGGAGCCACAGGTTCTGGAGCAAGCAACGGCTCCCTGTTCCTGCTTTGCATGTGTGTGTGCACAAACACACCCACACACCCCTTCAAATATCTAAAAGCAGCCTTCTCCAACTGGGCATGGTCAGACTGTTTTGAACTACAACTCCCATCATTCCCAGCCAATACATAAGGACAAAAGAAGAGCCTGCTGGATCGGGCCCATGGCCCATCTAGTCCAGCTTCACTCTGCATTGCGATAAGTCCTTTCTTCTATCTGTCCTGATTCTTCCCATTTCCAGCTTCATGGCATGTCCTCCAGTCTTCAGACAACAACAGCTGTGCTGGATGGGGGCCGATAAATATAGTTAACATTATCGCCATAGCACAACCACAGGTTTTTAAAATGGAAAATAAAATTGATTAGCATTTTTGGACAGCATCCATAGGGTACTGGTCCATTTAATGGCTTAGAATATTGTGGGCAGAACCAGCCAGTCAGCTGGAGGTGAAGTGGCCCCTCCCTCACCCAATTCCCTTGACTTTCTCTGTTGTAAGCGATAGGCTCGGAGGCCCATGATCTCTATATCAGCCTTTCTAACCCGTGGGTCCCCAGATGTTGTTGAACTACAACTCCCATCACCCCTAAGCTAGCAAGGCCAGAGCTCAGGGAGTTGTAGTCCAACAACATCTGGGGACCCACAGGTTGAGAACCGCTGCTCTAGATGCTTTCATGAGGCCAAAGGAGGCCTCATCCAGCCCAGTTCTCACAGTGGCCGACCAGATGCCTGTGGGAAACCAGGGATCTGAACAGGAGCACAAGAGTATCTGGGATCCAGAAGCGTTGCTGCCTCAAACCACAGACAGAGCAGAGCCCTACTGGTTGGTAGTCAGCAGTAGCCTGACGCTCCTCCATCAATTTGTCTAGTCGTCTTTCAAAGCCATCTCAGTTGGTGGCCATCGCTGCATCTATTGGGAGGGAGTTCCACGGTTTAAAGAAGTCCTTTCTTTTTCTCGATCCTTCATCTTCCAGCGTTCAGCTTCGTTGTCCGCAAGGGTTGTTGCCACACTCTTATGAGGGATTCTGTTCATTCCCTAAGCAGGCGGCCACGCTTCTGGTGAAAGGAACCCAGCGGTCACTGGAGGTCACAAACGTGGGCAGCAGCTGGTGCCGACGGCATCTGAGAGGCCTGAGAGAAAAAGCTAGGACGCATTCCAGGTTGCTCGACTCAAAAATTGCCCACGATCCAAAAACGAAAGGGAGGCCGCTGAAGGCAGGAATCTGCCACACAGGGTTAGTGTTCACCACGTTGAGGGTTTAATGCATGCCCAAGGCAGCCTCGGCACCCAAAGCTGAACTCCCCACTGTACACTCAAGGTTCGGTCCCAAAGACAAGACAGGATTTGTGCCAACACTGACTCCTGATTGCAACCTTTGGAATATAGGGTGCAGCTCCATCAGAACGAAAGTCTATGAACTCTCTAAAACAGGAGGCAGTGATGGCTTTAAAAGACAAATGCCTTTAGAAGGAGAGGGTTATTGATGGCTACCAGTCCGGGTGGCTGGGCTGGGCTCTGCCTCCAAAACTGGGGGCAGCGATGCTTCTGAATCCCAGTTGCTGGAAACCACAAGGGGTTTTCCACTGGGGCATCTGGTTGGCTACTGGGAGAGTAGGATTATGAACTAGGCGGGCTACGGACTTGATCCAGCAGGCTCTGCTTATGTTCTTAAAGTTTGCTCCTTGTTTTATGTTCTTAAAGTTTGCTTTAAAGAGAGCCAGTGTGGTGTAGTGGTTAAGAGCGGTGGACTCGTAATCTGGTGAACCGGGTTCGCGTCTCTGCTCCTCCACATGCAGCTGCTGGGTGACCTTGGGCTAGTCACACTTCTCTGAAGTCTCTCAGCCCCACTCACCTCACAGGGTGTTTGTTGTGGCGGAGGAAGGGAAAGGAGAATATTAGCAGCTTTGAGACTCCTTAAAGGGAGTGAAAGGCGGGATATCAAATCCAAACCCTTCTTCTTCTTCTTCTTGTATTTTAATATTTTTCTGGAAGCTGCCCAGAGTGGCTGGGGAAACCCAGCAAGATGGGCAGGGTATAAATAATATATTATTATTATTATTATTATTATTATTCCTGCCACGGAAGACAGACGTCTTCTCCCAACAGTGTGACCGTGTTGCCCCCAGAGTTGTCACCCCCTCTGCCTTGCAGGTTCTAGTAATGCAGGGCAGAGGACCCAGCGGCCCTCCAGATGTTCTTGGGGTCCATCTCCCATGACCCCCTGAGCACTTGCCATGCTGGCAGAGGCTGATTTATTGCATTCATACCCCAACTTTCCTCCAAGAAGCTCAAGGTGTTGTGCACAGTTCCCTCCCCCATTGTATCCTCACAACCACCCTGTGAGGTAGGTCAGCCTGCAAGGCAGTGACTGGCCCAAAGTTGCCCAGTGAGCATCAGGGCCTAGTGGGGATTTGAACCCTGATCTCTCCAGCACTCTTAACTCCTTGATTCACAGCAGCAAGGGGGAAGGGGCAATGCTTCTGGTGCTGTGAAATGGGGTGGGAGTGTTTTGAACAGTACTACACCATCTACAGGTTGCCTGGTGTGTGTCTATTTTTTAAAAAAAGTTAATATGCCAGATTTAATACACAACAGATTTACAACATTCTCTTCTAAGTCAGTTGCTGCCAAGGACAGGCAATTACTGGGTACAGATCTCTGTTTCTTAATTTTTTTTCTGATCTGAAATTCAGTTCTGCACATTTTCACAGCTTCTGTGGATTTAAACATCTGCATGAAAATTTGCCTGCATTTTCTTCAAATAAACCAGAGGACAGCAAACTTTTTCAGCAGTGGGCTGGTCACTGTCCCACAGACCTTGTGGGGGGCCGGACTATATTTTTTGGGGGGGTGGATGAAGGAATTCCTATGCCCCACAAATAACCCACAAATAAAAGGGCACATTCTACTCATGTAAAAACATGCTGATTCCCGGACCATCCACGGGCCAGATTTAGAAGGTGATTGGGCCGGATCTGGCCCCTGGGCCTTAGTTTGCCTACCCATGAAATAAACACATTTTCGTGTGCAATTTTCTCTAATATAATGCATTTGTTCATGTTATTATCACAGAAGGTGCACTGTGAGGCACACTTTCTCCCCTAATGATTTCTGCAAACGTTAGCTGGCTGGAAAACTGCATCGCAAAATTCAGAGAAGAGCAAATTTCAATCAAGGTCTGCATTCCAGTGCTTGGATCGTTTTTTCAGAAAGTGCGAATGAGGCAGTTTCTCATCCAAAAGCAAACAAGAGTGAACTCCCGTCCCCTCCCCCCCAATTCCATCTCACCTCTGAATTGTTGTGTCACTTCTAAAGTGGACACAGGGGGAAGAATTACCTGCAGTCAAGAGGGAAGTGTGCTGGACCTGCCTCTTCGTGGACTAGAGGAGTGCCCAGGTCAGGGACTCACACAAAGAGGTGGGCTCCTGTCAATGCGGATGATCTTTATGTTTCCACACTCCAGAAATAAATCTTTTGTGCAGCATAAGAACAAAGTGTGCTTCCAACTGTAGAGGTTGGTGGTGGTTTTTTTTTTTGCAGAATTATGGCTCCATTCTATGGGGAAACGTTATCTCCTCCACCCCTTCTCTTGGCCAGGAACACAGAATCACAGAATTGTAAAGGTGGAAGGGATCTCCAAGGGCGATCTTGTCCAACCCCCCACCATGCAGGAATTTCAGCTGAAGAATCCCCGACAGAGGGCCATCCAACCTCTGTTTAAAATCCTCAGGTGGAGAGTCCACCACTGACACCCTCAGAGAAGACACCGACGGCCAGAGGGGTTTACACTACCCATAAATGACATTTATTTTATTTAAAGTCGACAGACAAGGGAGGGGAAGGGAACCAAAAATAAAATTAGAAAAAAATCCAACGCACAACTGAAGTAGTGCAAAAAATAGTAATAACAGAAACCAAACCCAGACGAGAGAGAGAGAGAGAGGAGCTTGGCAGTGCGGGGCGCCCCCAGCACTCCCCCCTCCAAGCTCTCCACCCCCACAAAGAGTCCAGTCTTGTGTATAACTTAGCAAGGGTTATAGGTGAGCGTTGGGGCTGGGGGGGGCAGTGGGGGGCTCCTGGCCAGGGAAGCAAAGGGTGTTTGGGGAAGCTAAAATGCAACGCGGCTCCTTTGGAAGTCTGCTGGAGGAGCAGCAGCAGAGAAAAATGAGCGATAAAATATGGATCAAACGGGGGGGGGGGGAGAGACGACTGAGCCATTTTGGTTAGCGGAAGGGGTGGGACCTGGGACCCCCTGCGCAAAGATGGCGTATGTGGTTGGTGGTCGTGTGGGGGGGGGGGGAGATGGCAGAAGGCAGAGAGGATACATTCCGCTCTTTCTTTTAAAAACAAAAGCATTCCTGGAGGTAGGGAGCCTCTCAGGGGTGCTCAGAAGGTGTGGCAGAACCACCACCACCCTGTGCCCACCCCCCAAATCCAAGTGCAAGAAAATGCGGGCATGGAAATGATGTGGTTTTGTGCAGCAGCATGCAAGGCATGAGCTGTGCGTGCTCAAAAGACTTGAGCTAGAGGGGCAGGTGGGTTTTTCTCTCATGGTTGGGAGGCAGAAGACAGAGAGTGCATCTGTGTTTTTCGGCTCAGCTATTTTTCTAAAAAATGTTTCGAATAAAAGGGGGGGTTGTTTCTCGTTTCTTTGGACATCACACAAAGGTCAGAACAGATTTAAATTATAATGTAAGAGGGGCAGGCACTGCGTTGAGAAGGGCTCCCCCGCCAACACCTTGACGCACGCACACAGAGGAAGCGAGGAGGCGGCTGGCATCCTCTGCTGTCCACGGAACAGTCCTGCAGCCACAAACGGGGCCACCGGAGGCAAGCTTGGCAGGAGCGCAAAATCCCTCTGGCACACACACAGGTCAGCCTGGCCGCAGTGGCGGGGTGGGGGGTGGGGCTCCCTGCAGCTGAGCAGGGTGGCCAGGCCGCCCACCCCCAGCCCACCTCTTCGCCGCAAGGAACAAGTGGCCTCGCAGAGTCCTTGCCTTTCTCTCCCGTGCAAGAGGACGGTGGTCGTGCGGCGCCCCCAAGCTGGCGGCAGGGGCGAGAGAGAGACTACCTGGAAGCGCGCTGGCCGGAGGCTGGGGCTGCAGAGAGGTGCCTCCGTTTGCGCCCGGCATGCCCAACCACAGAGCGAGAGGGTCGGGAGGCCAATGGCCCGCCAGCCTTGCTCCTGCCTGGGGCTACGCTGTGGTCTCTGTTGGCTTGCTCTCCGAGTCGCTGTCGCTCAGGTAGCTCCGGGAGGAGTGCTTGGACCGGTGGGCGCCGTCAAAAGTGTCTCGCTCCTCGTCTGACTTGTCGTAGGTGAATGATTTCCGATAGCCGGGGGGGCTGTGGGAGGGGGAAACAAGAGGACAAGGTCAAAAACCGAGGCAGAGGGCTGTTCTGAGTGAAGTGGAGGCTCAGCGGCTTGCGTTTTCCAAGCTGGTCACCTGCCCGGGTCAGACTGACACCCTAAAAGCTGCCTTTTTTCAGCTTCTAATCCCATCGGTTCACACACATGCACAAGTAGCAGCAAGAAGGCCTAATGATTAGTATCAGTTGTAAAAACGCCCTTTGTTCTCCACTCTGCTCCCTGACCCGCCCCCAGGAAGGCCACTGCTGTGCCCTGTAATGCTGGCCGACACACACACATCAGCCGCATCCTACAAAACAAGGCCGAAGCAACTCAGTTTTTGCCACATGATCAATCTCGCTGTGATGAAATTACGCCTATTTTGTCGTTGCATTGCTCCCCGCCCCCATTCCTTTCAATGCAAAGAAACACAATGCAAATTGAGAGGAGGAGTGTGATCTATTACATATCGTTTGTGGACTAAAAGTGACAATAGCAGTGAATCCCAATCACATTTGCTGGATTGATTTCTGTTCCGGGCATGGAAGGAAGAAGCGATTTCCATCAGAAGCCTCCAACATCCCCAAGCCCTGGTCCAAGTTCTGCTTTCAAAGCCAGCTCTGGATGCTCTGGCCTAAGCAGGGCAAGGAAAAGACGGCAGCTCAGAACCCGTATCCTGCGCCCAGAAAAGCAGATTCCTGCAACGCACATAACTTGTGGGTTCGCCAATACACTTTTGCTTGCTGTACACAATTTATTCTTCCGCTGCAAGCTAAAGGGGCAAGACATGAAGCGCCTGCAATTTACTACTGGCATTTCAGCACACTACCTCCCAACCCCTGCCTCCACTTGGCTTGAAATCTCATCAAGGATCTCACACTGTATTAGGGACTAGAAAGATGAGGCTTCTTTTAAAAAGAAGGGGAAAGGCTGCCGATATTCAGAAGACTGAATCCTGGGCTCATTACGAAATTGGGGGCTTGGATGGTGCGGTTATGGGGTGTGAGTCGGCTTATGTGCCCTCTGCCAGAGCTGGCTTGAGAAGACTTCTCTCTCAGGAACAGGTGGTTTGCAAAAAGCAGAGCTTGATTTAAAATAGAGCTTTTTCCTCAAGGTGGGGCGTTCAGGGGTTCTCTTCCCAGCTCATAGATGGGACCCCCACATCTCCTCTGGGTCTCTGCTTGCCTCGGCAAACTGTTAAGCCAGCAGCTCACTTTCACGAGAGCTCATTATTCATTTTTATTTTATATTTTTTCCTCTCCTCTCCCAGACACTTCCACTTCCGCAGTGATTTACTCTCCCCCGTAGTTAGCAGAGCTAAGCAAATAATCTGTAGCAAATCAGGCATTTGTTGGAAATTTCACCCCTATCTGTTGCAAGCCACGCTCGGGGAAAAGGGGGGGGGGAGAGAGAGAGAGAAGAAATAACCTCGCAAACTCGCTCATTACGCAGAGCCATTTGGAAATTCCCTCCCGGCACGAAGGATTTGCTGGAGGGGAGCTCTGCGATGGGAGCCTGGCAATTGAGCCTTGCTTGCCCCTCCCTCCACACAAATTAGTTAAGTTGCGTCTGAAACAGCATTTCTGTCTTCTGTTAGGAGAACGGCCGCTGTGGGCACGGCACAAATGTAAAATCCAAACACGCGAATGGGAAACGTAGCACTTGAGCCTTCCGAGGATTTGTTGGAAGTCGGGCAGCTGAAATCAATTCAGGATCCGAGCGGATCCAGCTGTTTCCTCTACAGCTCTGGGAATCCTGATTCAGATCTCTTCATCCTCATTAGGTTTCAGGCTCATCCAGACCGGAGGGAGGGAGAACCAGCTGTGATGGCTCTCCAAAGCAGGAGGAGCCCAAACAGAAGCCTGCACAGTGTGAGGGAGAGGCAGTGATGGTGCAGCAGTTAGAGAACTGGACTAGGATCTGGGAGAGACCAGGGTTTGAATTTCCCACTCGGCCATGGAGCCCTCGCTGGGTGTGACCTGCCTCCCACCGTAACCCACCTCACAGGGATGCTGTGGGGATTAAATGAGGAGGGAGGAAGAACCATGCACACACTACCTGGAATTCCCAGGGGGTGAGGAGGGGATAGAAATGCAATAAATTAATAAATTAAATAAGCCCAAATGGCCTGGAGAAGAAGGACGGGTGGAAGCTGTCCATTTCCCTTCCTCTCAAGTTCCCCATTTTTCCCAGTCTTTAAGTTCAGTTCTCCACATTGCTATGTCAGTTTGCAAACGCAGCAGTTGTGTTCCAGGTCACTGCAAAATGGTCACTGCCCATACATAAATTTATTCGTGTGTTTGTGTGTAAAAGTCCTCGTGAAAATTTGGCAGCCTTTTACTTCAAATTTCTCCTAACGCAGACATATTTGTATGCAATCCTAATTGCAAACAGCTTTGAGGTGGCTGTTCTGTTGTTGTTTTTGTTTACAATCAAGCAACATATGTTACAAATAAATAAAATAAGTAATAATCCTGCCTATTACATTTTTGCAAGCGACGTTCATGACCGTAATGCATTTTTTGGTATGCTATTTTCACTAACTTATGCATTTCTACGCACACTTTAACCCCAGCACATGCCATTTTTTTTGCACATGGAAAAATTCAGATCGTTAGGAAAATTCAGGCGAATTTCAAAGGACGGTTGCCGTTTCGGTTTGTGTTTTGCGGAGTGCGAATCAGAGCAATTCAGCTGTGAAATGAATCAAGTCCCACTCCACCATGCTAGAGACAGGGAAGCATCGCCCTGAGCTGAGGGTGGCAAAAGAGCGACAGGCCAAGCCGTAAAAGGAATCCATAAAACCCATAAAACTATTTGACACTCCAGAATGCCATGGGGGAGGGAGGGGGGATGTACTTCGCAGACTTTTGATACCCTTCTTTCTCGTGAAAACCTGGATTGGTTTCTCCCACAATGCACACAGTGTCGAGCACATTCACTGAATCTCTTGCTGTTCTCGCAAACACACACACACGGCCAAATTGTGTGAAACTTGCAGGAGTGATCACAGAAAACAGGGAGTGTGTGTGCTTAAGATGGGTTTGGGGGCGGGAGAGAAAAGGCGGCTGTGCATTACAGACTCACTAAATGACCTCCCTTGTCCCTCCTTCCAGCTCTCAGCAATTCCACACCCTGTTGCACAGTTGCTTAGAGGAAAAAAGAGACACATTTTCTTCCTTCTCTTCTCTTCTCTTCTCTCCCCCCCCCTTACTCGTGCACCCGAACCCAATCCTGCCCCTCCCAGCTCCATTTCTTGTTATGGCAGCTGGAGCGTTAAGTGCATTAAGAAATCTAAAGCACAACATTCCCCCAGCTGCGGGAGGCTGCAATAGTAATTGAACATTTAAAAGAGAAAATGTCTTTTTTTTAAAAAAAAAAAGTGCAGGGGGTGGGGGGGAGAAGGAAATAAAAAGAGAGAAAATGCGGTCTCTCTTTTCTAGATAATTCTCCCATTCAGAGCTGTCGGAAACCATTTAATACACAAATAAATTTTTGTTAGGGATTGGCAGAGAGGGGGGAGAGGGACGCGCACAGCACACAATCTTGCCTTTGCTGCCGTTGCTTCTCTTCGAAATGCTTGCTGCAGAGGCAAACACACACACACACACACCCGCCTCTCCCTTGTTACATCTTCGAAGTGGGCAAACAAAGGCTCCCAACCTGGGCGTGCGCAGCTGCCAAGCGCAGCGCAGCCTCATCAGGAGATGTTCAAGCCTTTAGAGCAGCAGTGACACTCCCAGAGAGACACGGCTTTCTTATGGCTCTCCACCCCGCCCCCCTCTGGGAACTCTCTTCTCTCTGGCCGAGGTAGATGCACCCTGGCCTCTCTTGTGCCACCCGCCAGAATAAAACCAAGCCAGCAGTGGCCAGGAGGACGGGGGTGAACCTGGAGAAGATGAGAAGATTGGTTGTGAGGATGGAGGCAGTGGGGGGCACATTCCACCAGGTCAGACCTGCACAATGATGGCCTTCCAGAGCCGGACAGAGCCTGGCACCTGTACATGGTGGCACACAACGCAGGCATGAAGGGCACCTTGGGTTTTGGAGGGTCGGAAAAGTGCTGGGGCAAGCGGTGGCCTAGGGCTGGCAGGGTTTTGGTTAGTTCCGCAGATCTGCCCTGGTGGCAATCAGGAGGGCTTGCTCACCTGACCTTGAATAGTCCATTCGGACAGGAGAAACACGCACACCCAAAACTCAGGTTG